AACAAAACGGAGGCTAGACAAACGGAGGTTACTGTTTAGGTCAGTTCTTCTGTCACACTCTGTGATGGCGAGGAACGATGGAGACGAGGAATAGCGAACACAGTCTTTAATACAATCCAAACACAGGGTACATCCACACTGGAAACGGTAGGAAACACACGAACATAGCGAGTAGACCCGACAGAGACAGACTGCACAGACTAGGACTTAAATACAGGGGATGATTGGGGAAACACAGGTGCATGGGATCATAATCAAACTAATTAACAAAATGAGGACAGGAACATGACCAAATAAGGGAACAGAAACAGGAGAAAAACATGACACAGACAGTCCAAGATCCTGACAGTGTGTGTGTGTGTGTGTGTGTGTGTGTGTGTGTGCAAAGAGAGAGAGCAACACAATGCAATCTGACAAAACTAGAACATTCCTGTTATAATCAGCAAGACTGCATTGAGAGTGCTTCAACAAAACTGCAATGGGAAGTTGTAAACTTGCCGTACAGTTATCTTTGTTGACTATAACAGTAGTATTGTCAAAATATCAATGTGATATAAATTTTCCATGCCATGATAAAGCTTGGAAGAGAATACTGGCGTACTCCTTACTGTGATGAACAGACAAAACACTGAGTAAATGAAAGTATGCATTGATAAACATTTTAAACATAAGGTAAATTTATCCAGTTATCATCTTGGAAATATTTTTTCATAGCAATTTTAACCCAATTTTATGTAAAAATGCTTAACTTAGTAATATTTATATGTCACATTGGAAATGTTAGGCTAGTGATAAATAAAGTTTGCATACTATGCACAGTACACTCTTAAAAATAAAGGTTCCATAATGGGGTTTTCATAGCAATGCCATAGTAGAACCAGTTTTGGTTCACCAAAGAACCTTTCAGTGAACAGTTCTTAAATGAACCATTTTTCTTAGTATGAAGAACATTTTTATAATCTAAAGAACCTTTTTCCACTGGAAAGAACCTTTTGTGGAATGAAAAGTTTCCATGGATGGTAAAGGTTCTTTGTGGAAACATTGATTGCCAATAAAGAACCTTTATTTTTACGAGTGTATACTATATTGCTGAAATAGTAAGAGTAGTATGGCAGTATACTACACTGACCATACAGTAACCACATGAAACATACATACTGTAACTATATTCTTTGCATTACTTTTCAAAAGACAGATTGTTCAGAGGGACGAGGGGATACAAGAGCAAAATATGTAAGGTTGGATCCAAACCATAAAGAAAAACAATCGCTTTTCTTCTAGTAAGACTCCACATAGTTTGTCTCCTGTACAGAGCCAGAGAATACAGCGAGTGAAGCAGCACTGATCCTCTTAAGAGACTCATTGATGCCTCGTCAGTCTGTGTCCAAATAAAGCTGAGCTTTATAGTATTTATAGGAAGACTCCTGTTCTAACTCCTGCTGTGATTTTGAGGAAGGATCTGGGACAGACATATTAATGCTGGATGCTTCCCCTGGGAACAACAAGCACTGGACTGGTGTATCACTTTGTCTCAGAGGGTCAACAATGTCTCTGGGACCTCATAATAATGATTCATAATATTTTATTAGGTTTCTGGTAGAATTCAGGAAAACTAAAGAAAATCTCTCTAAGGAGAATTTGGTGGTGGTGGTGTTGTGGGAGAGTATAGGGGTGTCATGAGTCTTTTTTTTCTTTCTTTTAATTTTGGAATGAAATATGATCTGAGCATTTATAGGCATTTAGACTTTATAATAATGTTATCAATAATTAGAATCTAATACACGTGTCACATGTTTGTTTCTGTTTAGTTCCTGTTTGCCCCTATTTGGTTCAGTTCCTGTTCTCATTTAGTTTATCATCGTTTATTCTGTTCACCTGTTTTGACTGATTACTCCTCACCTGTTTTTGTTCTCCCTGATTACGTTCCATGTGTTTCTAAGCCATGTGTTTTCCTCAGTTCCCTTGTCTTGCGTTAAAGTTGTATCGTGGTTGTGTTCTCCCTCAGTTTCAGAGTGTTTTGTTCTTGTTTTGATAATTAAAGGCTCTATCGTGGATTCCTGCCTCTCCGTCTGCTTCTTCCGCACCACGACCCGTGACCGAACGCAAGAACCATAAAAACTGAAAGCGCCGTCTTTTCCCCCGTGTTTGTTTTCCGCCTTTTTGAACAGTTTTTGTTTTCCCGTTTTTCCCCCCATGGCATGGAAACCGCCGCACGTTTCACCACTCCGAAGTCAAGCCCGCCGGCCGCGGCTCACTCCAGCCTGCCGGCCTCTCCGAAGATAGGCCCTCCAGCCACGCCGTTGTCAAGCCCGCCGTCCGCCATTGACCCAAGCCTGCCGGTCACCGCAACGGCAAGCCCGCCAGCCGCACCTTTCACCCCGAGCCTAGAGGGGAATCTGAGGAGGAGAAGGCGGTTGGTTCTGGTCCCTAGGCGTGCTCCAGTGTCTGCTCCAGCCCCTGAGTCCGCTCCAGTGTCGGCTCCAGCCCCTGAGTTTGCGCCAGTGCCAGCTCCTCGAAAGCGCCTTGCTGTGCCTGCTCCTCCAGAGCACCCTCCAGTGCCAGTTCCTCGAAAGCGCTTCCCAGTCCCCGAATCCAGCCCAGAGTGGGCTCCAGTTCCTGTGTATAGCCCACAGAGGGCTCCAGCTCCCGAGGCTAGCCCACGGAGGGCTCCAGCTCCCGAGGTTAGCCCACGGAGGTCTCAAGCTCCCGAGTATAGCCCACGGAGGGCTCCTGCTCCCGAGGTTAGCCCAGTGAGGGCTCCTGTCCCCGTGTTTAGCCCAAGGAGGGCTCCAGTCCTTGAATCCCGTCCAGAGCACCCTCAAGTGCCCGCTCCTCCAGAGCGCCCTCAAGTGCCTGCTCCTCCAGAGCGTCCCCCAGGATTCCTAGTTTTCCCCAAGAAAATTTTTTGGGGGGAGGGGCATATACCCGTGGTCGAGCTGCTTAATGCCATGGAGGCTACCAGCTCCGCCATGGCAACCTGAACTGTCTGCTCCGCCATGGCCTCCCGAGCTGACCGCTCTGCCATGGGACCCAGATCCGGTACCGCGTCCGGTCCAAGCCTGTCCTGAGGGACCTCCAAGGCGCCCACCCTCCCATTCCTCAATGTTATGTGGCACGAGGTCGTGCCTTTCGGAGGGGGCCGTTATCTGTTACATGTTTGTTTCTGTTTAGTTCCTGTTTGTCCCTATTTGGTTCAGTTCTTGTTCTCATTTAGTTTATCATCGTTTATTCTGTTCACCTGTTTTGATTGATTACTCACCTGTTTCTGTTCTCCCTGATTACGTTCCATGTGTTTATAAGCCCTGTGTTTTCCTCAGTTCCCTTTTCTTGCGTTAAAGGTGTATCGTGGTTGTGGTCTCCCTCAGTTTCAGAGTGTTTTGTTCTTGTTTTGATAATTAAAGAATCTATCGTGGATTCCTGCCTCTCCGTGTGCTTCCTCCGCACCACGACCCTTGACAACATGATACTCCAGTAAACCCATTTTAATCTGGAATATGGATTGAAAATCTTTGAACTAGTCTTTTTTTTTTTTTTGATCAAGGTGCAAAAATTTAGAGAATTGCTGTTAAATGTTGGTTGAACTAGCAGATATACAAAAAGATGGACACAAATTTGATTTCCATTTTAAGTGCACACGTGTCAGATTTGTTGTACACTTTGAACACAAACCATTTTGACATGTTCTGAGTGGTGCTTGTCGTCTTTGTGGTTGCCTATAGTCAAAAGTCCTCTCTTAAGTCTCTGATATTCTTGGCTATATATATGGTTTGGGCCTCTCCCTCAATGTACGTGTATGAGACTCATGTTTGCCTATATTTTATAATCTGCCATTGGAAAAACTAAAGTTGGAAGATTAATGCCACAAATCTCCTCAAGCTGTCTTTCAAACTTTTATGCTGTGAACACAAAACCCATAAAATCTTAAGCTTGTTACTCTTCTGTCTTACTATGCAGATGATATATGTCAGTTTTGGTTCATCCAAGACTCTTATTTTGATAGTTTTGTTCTGTTGTTTCTGTCTTCATCTCCTGAGTTCCTGTATTTAGTTCCTGTTACATTAGTTTCTGTGAGAATGTCATCTGTTGCCTTGGTTATTGATCAGTCCCACCTGTGCCTTGTTTAACTCTTTGTTGTCTTCTGTATTTATGCTGCGTTCACGCCATGTCATAATTACCACAAACATATAACCCGGCTATAGAAACACATAATTCAGCTCCGAGTAGAATGTCACGTGTTGTCATCTCGTAATTATGGTAATTACGACATGGCGTGAACGCAGCTTTATATTCCCCTGTTCGGTTTAGTTCTCTGTCTGGTATTGTCTTTACCAGCTGGGAAGATCTTAGGTTGATTCCTATTAAGTTGGATTGTCTTTGTTGTTTTTATTTTGGTTAATAAAGTAATTAAACTGCACTTTAATCTACATCTCCTCATCTTTGCCTGACCCGCCATGATGATATAACAAGGAAAAGAATGAGAAAAGACAGATTTACTCTGAAGGAGTCATATCTAGAGACCAGAATATCATAGATTTGAGGGTGGCTTCTTTTGACTTCAGACAAAAATCAACCACCAAGAAACCACAATAACAGTGCATTAACAAGCCAAAAACCCAAGCGACCCAACAGCAACATGCTAACAGTTTAGTAAATATTGGCTCGACACTGATAACACCCTTGTATCATGGTGGTGAGATAATATGAAATATTATCGGGGGTTCTGTTAGGCTAGTTAGCTACTTTCTGCTGTCATATTATCATTAAATGTCAGTATAAACACGTGCAGTAATGCTGTAATTGAAAGTAGTAATATATGATTTTGAAGGGTCAGGGTTTTGCTCATGTTCCGTGTTTTTACACTCAAAAAGGATGTTTACACGACTGTTAGGAGATAGAAGTACTATTGATATAGAAACAACATTAAACATTTGTCATATCTCTAATCAACTTCTATTTAAATGTCTAATTTCCTTGTTTTTGTGTTTTTGCATGTGTTTTAGAGTTGTCAATTTCCAAACTAAGAATGGTGCCACACCACTATACCTTGCATGTCAGGAGGGCCACCTGGAAGTCGTCCAATACTTAGTGAAGGACTGCGGGGCGGAGCCAAGTATAAGAGCCAATGATGGGATGACACCATTGCACGCTGCTGCCCAGATGGGACACAACACTGTCATTGTCTGGCTGGTGAGCCAAAAACAGCTTTTATTCACAAGTTGGCCTGACCGTTCAGTCAGAGCCGATCCTCCCTATATGCAAAATATGCAAGCTGCTTAGGGCCCCCGAAACACCAGGAGGCCCCCTTGCTCTCAAAGATGATTTCATTTTAGTTTTGTTTTTGAATTTGGTCAGCGGTTATGAAAACATGAATGATCATTTATTTTAATGTGGTGTGCTGTCGACCTTTCTATGTAAAAATCAGTCAAATCATGAATGTCGTACAGTCTTGCTCGAGACTAAAAAACGAGTTGAAAGCGTACCGAGCCACGGAAGAGACACTGTTTCTCAAGCGCTTTCTGCGAGCGCAATTCGAGACGGAGTGAAACACGGACAAATGCGTTTCATTCATTCGTTCATAACCACTCATACCCCACTCAACCCCCAGCCCCCCAAATAGTCATTGCAAGTATCAGAATTAGGCTACCTATTTGCTCGCGCACGAGCAGCTCCGTTTCATCTCTGGAGGCGCGTTCTGTCTTTGCGCTTGCAAATTCTGTCATGTAAATAGCAAATCCGCCATGGCATGAGCGCAACTGGCTCTTAAAGGGAATGGGAGATGAGACTCTGATTGGTTTTTTGCACGTTATGCCCAAAACACACCCATTACTCATTAAGAGAATAGGGACAACCCTTTTAGACCATGCTCCGGGTGCACCGACCGTTTTTTCCCGTCGTTAAACTAGCAAAAGTGGATTCGGACACGCCCTAAGTGCACCTGCGCCGTACGCTTTAGACCATGCGCTTAGATAGTTAAAATAGGGCCCTAAATGTTGATTGTCACAGAAAATAATTTTCACTTTCACAAGAATGGAACATGTACCATAAATACCACATATGCAAGTGCTCCAGCAACAACTACCAAATGTTACTGAAAAGCGTCCAAATTTGTGAGAAATTCAAATAAAAATGATAGAAACCTAGTTGTTTTGTTAATGTTGAAAGATCTAAGGATCTGTTTCAATATAGCAACCTATGTGTGTGTAGCTTTCAGAGAGCAACCAGAAACTTATTTTGTTTGATTTTCTTCATGTTCTTAAATTTGTTTTGTAATCATTGGTCATTTATGTTATTTATCATTACGTTTATAATCATTAGTCGTTTATGTAATTTATCATTTCATTTATATCATTTATCATAATTTTTATTATATTTTTTACATTTAATATTATTTATTATAATTTCCTTGCTCTTGCAATGCGTGCTACTGTTGTTTAATCTGTGATTGTGGCGTTTCATGGAGTGTTCGTCTTCACGAAAAAAAGATAAGGCAAAATATCACAGTTTCAAGGTTTAATGGGATGGGATATTGATGTGAAGCAATTTTGTGTGAAAGCACTTGTGAATTTGGGTACCAGAAACGATTTGCTGTTAACAGTTTTTGGGTGCCAGACAAAACTTCAGTGGCTGGGTTTTGGTTACCAGACAAAAGGGATCTCTCCTGGCAGGATCTGACAGTTTAAGTTCTTTAGAAGACTTGTTTTATCCTTCATTCTCTTTAATTACTTGACATTGAACGAAACTGTTTGTTGGCATTGCAAACTAAAGGTGCATTATTTCAGCCAGGTGTGCTATATGAGCTACTATGATGAGCAGTATTTTGTAGTATAATTTAACATCATATCTGTAGGTTCTTGATCAGACTTGTTGGATATTTGCATGACCTGCATATTAAGAAGTCAACAAACAGGGAAAAGAAACATTTTATCATGTCTGTACTAACTACTTCTTACTTTTTGTCTTGTATAGATGAGTTTCACAGAAATCAGCCTGTCTGACAGAGACAATGATGGGGCCACTGCCATGCACTTTGCTGCCAGCCGTGGCCATGCCAAGGTTCTCAGCTGGCTGCTGCTGCACGGCGGGGAGATAGTGACGGACAGCTGGGATGGGACACCTCTTCATGACGCAGCTGAGAATGGAGAGCTGGAGGTATGTAAGAGAAACTACTCTATGTGAATGTTTCTTGCCTTGCAAATGCAACTGCAATAGTAATTACAGCTCTGACATCTAAAACACATCAGACAGTGAGAAATTATATTGTGATATTACAACCTTAGGAATATAAAACTCCATGCAGTCAGTATTTGTGAATTGTGAACACATCATAAATTGTGAACACTTTCTTTTAGTATAATGTATTTAGGGTTAAAATAGGAGAATGCATTTGCAGTACATTTAACTATTTTTATTATTGTAGTTATTATTGGTCAATATCTTTTTTTCACTGCCAAAATAATTTTTTTTAAGACAAATGAAAAACATTTTTTTTTTTAGAAACAAAGAAAATAAAAATTATGCATGCACAATAAGATCAGGTACATGTAAATAAAGTAAATAAGTAAATGGGGTCAACTGATTTAATGTTGACTATATACAACATATAATAACAGTCATTGTGGTACAAATAATTTAATGTGATCTTCCACTCACTTATTTCTGATGTGGAGATTTGATCTAACAATCATGTGTAACTAAAACTTTACATTTTGGATACTTTTAATTCTTTAGAAGTCCTGTTTTATCCTTCATTCTATGCTGTTACTTAACATTGCACAAAACTGTTTGTTGGCATTGCAAACTAGAGGTGCATCATTTTAGCCAGGTGTGCTATATAACCTACCATGATGAGCAGTATTTTGCAGTATACTGTAGTTTAATATAATCAAATGTCTGTTTTGGTGATTTACTTTATAAGAGCATCTATGGCTTGACTTTGACTTGAAAAAAATCAAGAATGATTCTTAAACATCACATTTGTGAACTCTTTACTTTATAAGAGCATGTATGTCTTGACTTTGACTTGAAAAAAATCAAGAATGATTCTTAAACATCACATTTGTGAACTCTTGGAATAATACATAGCTTTAATAAAATTGATGATTCATGAGAAATAAGTGACATATTATACATATTATAGTGACATTGCATATAAGGTTTGGTTAGTATACACTCTCAGCAAGTCTATAGTAATTCAATAGAAAGTTTAGTTGAGTTAAAAATGAAATTCTTTTTCCTTTCTGTATGTACAATATATTATAAAGAATTATTATTGCAATTATTATGCATTTTCATGTTATATTTAATAATTGTTATATGCTTTAGTTGTTACATTTATTTATTCAGCAACCTGAGCCTTATTCTGTTCTAATGTCGTATCGTTTGTTGGCTAAATGATGCCTAGTTTGTGATTTTTTTTCTGTGTTAATATTTTTCTATTTCTATGATATAACATTTATATTCACCTTCATCCTTTAGTTATCAGGCAAACACTTTTATTAGAATTTACTATAATTAGAATTAATACATTCTTAATACATAATTAAGAAAAAAAGTGTTTATACCATAACCTGTATGATATTATTGTGAAAGTGGTGTAAACTTTAGTGCTTGGAACTTTCCACAGTCGTGCGGCACCTTTATTGGTTTGTAACATTATCCATCTGAACACAGAAACTTTCAGAGAGTATTGTCTCTTGTTCTCCACCTGAGGGCCAAACGCATGACAGCTGTCATTAACAAAGTACCCTTTTACTGCATTCATGAACACCACTCATACTTTACTCAACTCTCTTTCTCAAACAGACAAATATTTACACCCTTCAGAACGAGCACACACTTTTTCAACAGATGTCGTTTAGTCATGAATATATGCACAATTCTGTTTGTTCACATCCTTATCTTTATGAATGAGCAATAGGAATAGTAATGCTTGCTTTAGCAGACAGCGGTAAATCTATTGAATAAAACAGCCCCAGATTATCTAGTCTATCTGGTTGTTAATGTAAATGTCTGTTTCTCTGCTGTCAGTGCTGTCAGATTCTGGTAGTGAACGGAGTGGACATGGGGATACGGGACCAGGATGGATTCTCAGCGGCAGACCTGGCTGAATACAACGGGCATCAGCAGTGTGCCAAGTACATCCGCACTGTTGAAAACATGGTGAGAAACAGCACAGACACAACAATAAAGCAGTCTTAAACAAGAGTTTTACAACAAAACCAAATTAAATTCGTATTACAAATGCTCACTTATCTCTGTTTACATTATCAGTACTACAAAATATGTTAATTAAATGTTTTCTTTATTTTTGGTAATTTGCTTGTTTGCTTTGTTTAGCCTTTAATTTTTGCATATAACACAAAAGTAGAAACTGTACCCCCCCCCCCCCCCCCATTGTCCAGTAATGGGGATTACCAAGATAATAGAGGATAAAATTTAAGATGAAAATCTCATCTAATTCTGTGTTAGTGTACGACGTTTTAACTTTATAAAGTCTACTGTATCATATTTGATAAGCAAATTTCTAAGGCCACTAAACAAAACTTTGCTGAAAAACTTGTACATAATCTACTACATACCTGCTGTTATTTTGTCATGATTTATGTAATTCATAGTTTATTATTATTATTTTTAGCAAGTAAAAAAGGATTTTTCTTGTAATTTTAAAAACATCCTCCTTTTTTTTAGGAAAATCATGCTAAATTGTCTCAAATATGATCATCAGGCCTTTGAGGATAATTTATTTACGGTGCCTTGCGAAAGTATTCATACCCCTTCATTTTTTTTCATGTTTTGTTGTTGTAGTCTTATGTTAAACTGCTTTAAATTACTTTTTTCCCACATCGATCTACACTCCATACACCATAATGACAAAGCACAAAACAGATTTGTGACAACTTTGCAAATTTATTAAAAAACTGAAATAAATACATTGCATAATTATTCATGATTGACAGCTGAGACTGACAGCTTCTCTGAGAGAACTGAGGCGCCAACTGACTTTTTCGGGATATTTAGGAGGATATTGGAGTTGTATTTACCTTATTTTAACACAATCCTCTCAGCAGACAAAAACTGGAGCAGTCAGGCTAATTAAAACAGGGTCAGGGGCGTATGCTTGCGATCGACTCTGCGGGAGTGTGGGCGGGACACGGCGCCGCTTCGCTCGCCACTGCGCAGACTCTGGTCCCGAGTTCTCTACTGTGCAGACTCCGGTTCCAAATCAGCGCAATATGGCCGCGCCCTGTTGGGACAATAGCGGCTTCACTTTTCTTCAATGGAAGAGATTGAAGGTGCATTGTCCATCTTTTTTTACAGTCTATGGTCTGGTCTCGCAGCTGTTTTGCACTACTTGCCTGATTCACCCCTCTATTTACCTACCTCCATGTACTCCAGCGATCTGCTCCTTGTTCTCCAGTGCTCCCTTTAACCTCAGTTCCTGGTTCCCCTCCTGAAAGAAAGTAAAGGACACGTTACCTCACCAAGTTAAGCTATCTAATAGTGGTCGACCGATATTGGTTTTTTTGACAGCCGATGCCGATATCTTGGAAAGCAGGGTGGCCGCTGGCCGATATAAAGCTGATATAATTGTATTTATTTTAATTAATATTTAAGAAATTTTAAATCATTTGAAAATGGATTAAAAAGATTATTTGTAAAATAAACATACTTATACTTTAGATGACAAAGTATTTTTCACAAATAAATCAATATTTAATAAAAATATAATTAAAAAGGAAGTAAACTGTAACCAACAGGGCACTCAGTATTCTGGGAAGTTTGTGTGCATTGGGAATCATATTTTTTCAAATAAAGCCAAGGTAACACTCATTTTACATACAGCACACAGTGAAAATGACATGAATATGATAGTGGGCAAATGCATAAAGCGCAGCATAATTTGAAATCACGAATTTTATGTTTAAAGCATTCAATTCGCATGGACCGAAGGTCACGCAGAGAACACGCGATCATGCAGGTCACATGCACACTTCACGAGATCTCACAACTGGATTCGACTATGTTTGCAAGGTTTGTGAAATAAAATTTTCATTAGCCATTCAAAGATTTGTTTAAATGATTTAAATGCGTATTTGCTGAATGCTGACGGCAAACAGGGAGAATGTGAGCACTGTGTGCTCAGGCGCTGCCGCTCTCAGCGCCGTCAAAATAAAAGTCCCGCCCCGAACGCATCGGCCAAACAGAAAAACGTATCGGCCAATGCCGATATTTGAAAAATGCCAAATATCGGCCGATATATCAGTCGACCACTACTATCTAACCATTTAAATTACCTGAATACTCACTTGCACGTTGATGTCTTGTCTGCATCTGCCTCAATCTTCAATAAACCTGCTGTTGTATTGACTTGTGTCCCATCGTGTTTGCTGACAGAAGACCAGACCGTCAACATACAATACAGCAGAATGAGCTCCATTTTCTTTGATCCCGCCGAACTACTCTATACCTGTGCTCAGGATGGCCGCCCTATCGAGGAATATGTGGAGGAGTTTATTGAACTCTCATCTTGTGCCCTGGAGTGATAAAGTATTAAAGACTCTTTTCTGACTTGGACTCGACAACAGTCTTGTTGGTCATGTACCCACATCAGCCATCGCTTATTCTCTCGCACAGTATATTGACTGCGTGATGTTGCTGTGTGGTTCCTCCCTCACCGTTGGTGAGGTGGTTGAAACCCCCATCACCACTCTTGTCACTAGCTACCCCGTTCATGCTTGTCCATGAGTCTGTTCCAGAGTCCGCTACAGTCAGTAAGTCTGTTACAGTCCCAGAGCTTAACAATGAGTCTACTTCAGTCCCCGTGACCGGTAATAATTCCACTCCTGGGGTCCCACTTTGGTGGAACCAAGTCCGGGGGTCCTGGAGGACCCGACTCCTGCGGTCCTAAGGTCCGAATGAGAATTCCATCTGGAATCCCTAGCCAAAAGGGCTGTCGCGCCTGAGGCCCTGGCCAAGATGGCCGCCACCCCAGAGGCCATGCCAGAATCCATGAGCAAGATAGAACTTAAACTAAGGCAAACTAGACTAATGCCCAGTGTGATGGATCCACCGTTGAGGTCGGTGCGAGCAGCAGGCATCCCGGGTACCCCAATCCTCAAATACAGCCCTAGTAAGGTTCCTGCTCAGAATCTCAGCCCCGTGAGGACGCGAGCTTTAGACTCCAGTCTCCGACCTGTTTCTGCCCCAAGATCGGCTCCTGTTTTCAACCAACTGCCCATTCTAGAGGCCGTGCCTCATTCTACCTCTGCTCCCAAGAGAAGGCGAATGAAGAAGTGCCGGCCCCCCATGAGTTTAAGCTCCTGATCATGAGTTTAGCCCAGAGAGGGCTTCTATCCCTGAGTCCAGACCAGAGAAGACTCCAGTCTCCGAGTTTAGCTCAGAGAGGGCTTCTGTTCCTGAGTCTAGCCCAGAGAGGGCCCCAATCCCCGAGTCTAGCCCAGAGAGGGCTTCTGTTCCCGAGTTTAGCCAAGCGAGGGCTCCAGTCCCAGAGTTTAGCCTAGAGGGAACTCCTGTCCCTGAGTTTAGCCCAGAGAGGGCTCCAGTCCCCGAGTTTGGCCCAAATAGGGCTCCAGTCCCCGAGTTTAGCCCAGAGAGGGCTCCTGTTTCTGAATTTATTCCCGAGAAGAGCCTTGTTCCCGAATTTAACCCAGAGAAGGCCCCTGTTCCCAAGTTTGGCCCAATGAAAGCTTCTGATTCCGAGATTGGCCCAGTGAAGGTATCTGTTCTAGACCAGAGTCCAATGCAGGCTCCAGCCACTAACCAAGGTCCAGTGCAGGCTCCAGCCCATGGGCTCAGTCTAGTGCCCGCTTTCACCTCAGAGCTCTGCCAGGATCCTGCTCGAGTCCATGGATCCGCTCCAGAGTTGGCACCTAGTCCAGAGTCCGCTCCGGAATGCCCTCCAGATCGCCCTCCAATGCCTGCTCCTCCAGAGCACTCTCCAGTGTCCACTCCTCCAGAGCGCCCTCCAATGGCCGCTCCTCCAGAGCG